GCGTAATTGGTTTAGTGGTAAAATTCTCCGTTGCCATCGGGGAGCCCTGGGTTCGATTCCCAGATTACGCATTGAATCAGCGAAGGAATTCGCTTCTCTTTTTGCCGGATCGTCAATTTTGGATGTGGTGTTGTGAACTACAAGTTCCGCCATTTCCGAGCAATATTCTCGTTGGAGCAGTAATTCGAGGCCTAGGTACAGCAAGGACGTTGAAGCGTTCACTGGCTTGTTTCAGGGTTCCGGTCTTCAGTTTTCCAGATCGGCATTGCAAATACATCGTAGTTGAAAACAAAAAGAAGAGTTTGAAGGTTGCCGAAAATGGTGCTTTCAGCCGTTACAGGTTGTGTCTCATAGCCACATCTTTCATCACACTCACAAACGTTCCCGGCAGCACACCCTGTCGTAAGACCACAGATAAAACGGAAAGAAAAGCAAAAAGGAAAGCTGGACAGCTTGATTTAACGATGCGTAATCTGGGAATCGAACCCAGGGCTCCCCGATGGCAACGGAGAATTTTACCACTAAACCAATTACGCGGTTATTGCTTGTGAGATTGCTTTCGAGTCGGGGAACATATACCTACAACCGGAATATCTCCACCCAAACAGACGAGAGAGTCGACCAGATGGATCAGTCTGCCTTCGGTAAGTACCTACCTTCTCATCTTGTTTGTTCTTCGATTGTTGCTTGGTATGTTGCTGAGTACGAATTCTGTTGCTCTGTTGCTTCCTGCTGTTGGATCACAACTAACAACGGTCTCTTTCAGATTCACCCTTCTTTCTGGTCTTGGTCACTAATCTCCTCGCTTGCACAACCCAAAAGCCAGTTTGTAGCAGTCAACTTGCAACAAATTCAGGCAGCCACTATTCCCTATGCCATCCATCAGCACAATCATCGAGATATTACTGCCGTCACCAAGGTTACCTACAGAGTCAACGTCTCCCTCCTGCCAAAACCTCGCACTACCGCACCTTCGAAGAGACTGCCTTGGAAACAGTGCACGCCGAGCTGAAGAGAGCGACGGTTAGTACTGTGATCCATAGTTGAGGTTCATGAGCCATACTAACTTCTTAGTTCTACAGATTCACCAGAACAAAACGATCCACGGCCTCAAGACTTAACCTTCGGGAACTACGACAAAGATTTCGAAACGGCGCTTTCCACGCTTCACTCCGTCTCTAAAGATCAACAACTACAGAGAGTGCTGAGGGTCTTCCCGATTACCAAGAGGGATAAGATTTCGAGTCTCTTCCAGACTCTGCTGCTGGCGGCCGAGTACACGTTGAGACGGAAACTCAGTATACCGCCCTTGGGAGCGAACTCTGTAAGAATTGAGAGGGAAGCGCGCTTACCATCTGTCACGATCGAAGTGGTTGTCACAACTGTCGAAGAAGCGAATATTGCGAAAAGAAAGGACTTGGAAAGCACAAAGGCCGCCATTCAGAGTATCACTTCAACCAAATATCCTCGCACTACCGGTCAGTTGCCCGACCATTGGCAGCCTACTCCCAAGGCGTCCGCCCAAGGTCCAACGCGCCCAACCCTTAGAGCCGATCATTCTTCCCTCGGATAGATAGATACAGTTATGGGCACGGCGAAATTTTCTACTATCAAACTCGAAACGCAACTGCAAACGACAGGGCCATTACGATCGCTCTACTCTACACAGCATATCTAAGGTAACCGGATTTCAGTGCTACGAGGCCAGAGTTACATACGGTGGCTTCTCCAAGTACTAGAATCCTAATATCAAGGTTGAACTCCTCTTCTCTTCCCATATGCATATCGAACTAACCGATTAACAGCCACCATCTAGATCTAGAATCCACGAAGTGGCTACCCGAGCTCGATACCGAAAACGACCTCACGCCTCGACCCTTCGTCGTACGGGGAAAGGGAAAGGTTTCTGAGATCCTCAGCTTTTTCTGCATCCGATAGCTACACGAAAAGCTGCGTTGCCTGTCACAAAGTTGGTGGTTTTGAATTTCCTGCAGCGGCATGGAATATAGCCTTAGTTAAACACTAGGGGTTGCGGGTTTCCTCTTATAGCGGCGACCGGTTTGGCGCTTTCGACATGGCGTACCAAGCTGCACACCTCAACCAGACGACACGATGGATAGTCTAAGCCACCGAAAAAAGTGTTGTTTTGTTGAGTACGCATTGCCGGGCATCTTATCACCAGATGCGTCACTAGCAGACGCCAAATACCTCTCGACGACAACGAAGTCGGTCCTGTCATATAGCCAAGACTCCCGGACAAAAAATCTTTCGCATTCCTGACCATTAACGAACCCCACGTCTGATGTGCTGAATGTCATCAACGCTCAGAGTACGTATGGTTAGTTGGAGTCACAATACCCTATATAGGACTCCTTCCGGAAGTGTTAAAAGGGTAAAGAGACTGGGTTACTCAGCAGTCACTGTAGGAATGGAATACGTTTATTCAAACCAATGTATCCCGGGGAACTTTCAAGAGTGGCGGCACGAGGTAGGACTTCGAGTGCCAGCATGAGTATAAAAAGTATGTTCGTGCAGTCCAGGCCATCGTGCTATATAATAGTGGCTGTGGCTTCCAGTATCAAACTTCATCAAGCCTTGAGATTACTATTAATGTATAATTATGTCATTTCAAACTCCTCCTTTTCATGACAAGATATCATGCCCTTATTACCCAAACAAATGATATCCTTTTCCTTATAGCCTCCCATAAACACCATTAACTATCTAAATCCCTAATGCTCCTCACACTCTGATACTCGAAACTAACACTACTATCCATCTCAAAGTTCTTGACCGACGGCGCCAAAGTACCGCCCTCCTCATGCTTCTCCAGATGCTCCTTCAACCCGCCATAGAAATTCCTCAGACACAAAATCGCAAAGATAGTAGTGAAGAAAAGGAAACCGATGGACATGGCAGCATAGCAATTCGAAATGCTAACAAAAGAAGCGAAACGCTTCCCCATCACGGACAGGACCACCATGTAGATGATATAACCAATCATGGCAAGGAAAGCAACGATAGATACGACCATGCCGATACGGTTCTCTGACTTGCTCCATACTATGGATAGGCAGGTGATGATGACGGCCACGGCGAGGACGGACATGCGGATGGCGAATTCGGTTCCTTGGCCGCGAAGTTCAGTTACTCCGAAGTACACTTCGAAGGACACAATAAAGTATATGTCTACTTTTGCAAGCATGACAAAGATCTGCAACAATCAGCTTGGGTATCACATGAACATAGGATATAACATACCTGATGGATGGTGCGTATCCTTCTCAACTTGGCATCCGCGCCCACATTGCGATATGCCTGCCAGTCAAAGTACTGCTTCAGATACCAGACAGAGATAACCAACAGCCCTGTGCAGATACCGACAATAAAAGGCATAGCTTTCAACATGCCTCCGATTTGCTCCCAGATAGGTATCTCCAGGTGAACCAGCGGTTGAAGGTTCGAATCCACGGAGCCCTTCAACTGTTCGATCCTCCCCTTCATTTCCGTCGACTGGTAGATGGCCAAGGGCAAGAAGCCGGCATTGAGCACACATGTGAGCATAGCCTGGGCCGTGCTCTTGAGACGGATGGAATCGACCATGAAGCCCAGCTGGAATAGAAACCCAAAGATGAAAATTGCCAAGTTGGCCGGTATGTCATATCCGGCTCCTACTTGGATGATTCTCGGCGTAATCCATTCATACCAGTGTACCACGACGATCCTGTCTCTGGTCAGTGGCGGTTAGGGGAAGAAGCGGTGGATGTTACATACCCCTGAAGGATAGAAACAGTAAGACCTTGCGCAATACCAATGGCTAAAAATGACAAGACTGACGGTGCTGTCTGCACCTTGTTTGCGATGTTTGATATCGTGTCTGCTGCCATCTTGTATATCTCGTATACAGCGCTGAGATGAGAAGTGATGGGAATGTTTTTGGTTCAACGGAAGAAGACCAAAAAGTTTTGAAATACCGACGCTAGTTCGAGGTCCGTTGTCTTGCCTAGCAAGGGTAGTCAGGGAATATTGGGGCTTGACCCACCATCTTCTCGTATTCAGAAGCCTTGAAACCCAAGCGCTCGGTCATAAAGTTCTGGAAATGACGGAGAAGGCGTTTACTATTCCTGATCCGGTTTCTAGATGCGAGACTTCAACAGTGCAATGGCTCCATCTGGAGTTCGGTTATTGACAAGCGATGTGTGTTTTTTTCTCCGATGTTTGAGACTCGTCTCGTCTGTTTGACAACTCTGGATACAGAGTTGAAAGACATGGGTGTTCGTTGATCACTCTTTTGACGGCTCTGCACAGACGATAACCCAGTCGTTAATGACCCATATATCAGCCACGTCTTCCAGTTAGAGTGTCTTTTGACATTTGAGGCGACTGTGCTTTGACTTTAAATCTACCGAGAAATGAGTCGAGACCATCAATTTCAGATGCCGTGACCGGAAGAGGCAATGATCTCTAGCGATTCAATTAAATGGTGTTGATCGGAACTTTCCTCGCAAGGCTGACTGTTCGGAGACTGCAGAAGAAATTCATGCGCCGACTTGTGGAGGCCTGATCCTGGTTTGTGCAGCATAAACTTGGCCTAACATTAGTTCGCTTGGATAAAGGACGGAAATGCGAGAAGCATCTGACAGTAGTCGGTGGATCACGAAAACAGTGACATTTTATAGTGTGAATACGAGCAGGAAATGTTGTCACCATGGGACTTCATCGGTCGAATGACACATCTATTATTCATGTCTGAAATCCACTCAAACATCTACCAAAGTTCCTTACCAAGCTATTCTCGCAATGAAAGACTTGGGAAACTTCCTCACAAAGAACTTCCTAATCTCATCAACCAACAAAATACCCAACCCCAGAGGAATAGGAATCAACCAAAACTCAATCGGCACAGACTCGGTATCAAACAACTTCTGAATCCCAGGCACCTCCGTCACAAAAATAGCAATGCACAAACTGATAAGCATGCTAAGAATCAACCACGGGTTGCGATGAGCCTTGGTAATAGGATTCGCCTGGAAAATACTCAAGCGTCGGTTCCTCACAGCGAGGATATTTCCCCATTGAAGGAACACTAGTGTGACAAAGTAAACACACTGGCCGGTGTTGTTGAACTTGGTCAGCTCGTCCTTGGTGTAGCCGTGATAGCCTTCTGAGTAGCCTTCGAAGAGGAAGAAGAGATCGGAGGCGGAGAGCTTGGCGTGTCTCCACATGTAGAGGAAGAACATGGCATGCGCGGTGATGGTCTCCATGGTACCCGTGAAGAGGTACGCTTGGGTGTAGATCTTGGCGTTGATGAGGTGATCGCGCTTGTGGTTCCTGGGAGGAAGAGAAAGAAGATCGAATTCCTCCTTCTCCATGATCAGTGACAGACTGAGGAACAGATCTGTAAAGACACAGATGATGATCATGAGAAACGCGCTAAGAGGGAGAGGAACGCCGAAGAAGACGTTCAGAATGACAGGCCAGATCTCGGACCAACTACCGGCGGGGAGAAGGTAGGAAATAACCTTTTGAAGGTTCTGGAAGACGAGACGGCCGAGGCGCATGGCGTCGATAATGGAGTCGAAGCGGTCGAGGAGGACGAGGTCAGATGCTTCGATGGCGACATCGCTTCCGGTAACGATAGCGACACCAACGTCTGCAGCGCGAAGGGCAGGGGCGTCGTTGACACCATCACCGGTTACAGCGACTACATTGTCGCGTTCGCGAAGTTCGGTGACGATACGAAGTTTTTGCTCGGGAGTAGTTCGTGCAAAGACGATTTCTTCGTAGGCGCAGACGATATCCCAGTCCTCCTGGCTAAGCCTACTGAGATGGGCGCCTTCGAGTAGTAGACTTCGGGGGATGATCTCCGCACGATCACCCTTCTTCGGCTTCGTCTTCTTCTCGCTGGTAGGGGTACCGGGGTAGAGCGAGTCAATGGTATCAGGATCCTGCTGACAAGAGAAGATACCAGTGTTGCGAGCGATTGCGGCGGCGGTGAGAGCGTAGTCGCCAGTGACCATGAAGAACCTCGTTCCAGCACGACGGCATTGCTCAACCGTGGCTGGAATCTCGGGACGATGAGGATCGATGATGCCGAGCATACCGACGACAGTAAGGTCCTGAATAGCGGAGTGCGTGATCTCATCACTGAAACTATTCGTGCCAGCGACCGAGCGAGGAGTGATGAACTTCTCACACAAGACAATCACACGTTCCGCCCGACGAGAAGCTTCGTCTTGGATCTGCTGGAACTTGATGCGTGCGTCGCGAGTAAGCGTGACGACGGAGTTGGACTCGGAGGACCAGTACTTGGTACATCCTGCAAGAAGGATATCAGGCGCACCCTTGATGATGACACGGTATGCACCACGTTCGTCGTCGGATTGGAAGACTGTTAACATCCATTTGTTCTTGGAGTTGAAGGGTACTTCGAAGATGCGAGGCATAGTCTTCCTGGCACTATCACCTGAGTGGCCGGATGCGGCGAAGCGGAAGACTGCGCTGTCGGTGGCGTTACCCATGACTGCTCGCTCATGAAGGGGAAGATGGATAGTGGTCGGATCGAAGGATGCATCGTTACAAAGAAGTGCTGCGCGTTGAAGAGCGATTGAAGCTTGGTCTGCTTCGTTGCTGTTGACAAGATAGTGGAATTCATCCGAAGACTCGAATTTCTTGTCGACAAAGGCAACGGAGCTGACAAACATCTGGTTCTGTGTAAGAGTTCCAGTCTTGTCAGAGCAGATGACATTCACACAACCAAGGGTCTCAACGGTCGATAGACCCTTGGGTAGAACGTTGACAGCCTTCATGCGACGCGCTACCATCATGAGTGTCAACGCCACAGCGACTGGCATACCCTCCGGAATGAACGCCACGACACAGGCCATGACATTGACAAGCATGGCTGGAACACTCATGTAATCTGGGTGATCAACGCGCAGCCAACCAACCCACGTAAGAAGGATCGCGAGAGCCAGGATAATGGTCATGCAGACAATAATCTTGACGAAGCGAGTGATTTCCTGCTGGATCAGAGCAGCTGAATCCTTGACACCAGATGTAGACGTCGCGATACGACCCATGACAGTTCGGCCACCAGTGAGTACAACAACACCGACACCATTACCGTTCATGACAGTAGTTCCCATGAAAGCAATGTTGCGACTCTCGAGGAAGTTCGCATCGGTGGCGTCAACCGCACCCTCGATCTCGTCAGACTCGCCAGTAAGAACCGAACGATCAAAACGGATGTCACCAGAGTGACTGATGATGCGCAGATCAGCAGGAACTTTGTCGCCGACTTGGAGATGAATAACATCGCCAGCGACAAGACCAATCGTAGGCAAGCTTTTGATTTCACCATCACGCTTGACCATTGCGAAAGAAGGCAACAGGTCGAGGATAGAATTCATGGTCTTGGCGGTAGACCAATCCTGGAAGGCTGAAAAGCCAGCCTGGAGGAAGATGACGATGAGGATAAGAACGGCGAGCGAAAGATTCTGATTCGACGGAGGATTGCTGAGGGGCTGCCAGCAGAGGAAGAAGATAATAGCCCCAACCCAAAGAACCGAACAGAAACCACCAAAGATGTACTTTAGAGTCCGCTTGATATAGTTCGTCTTGGGATGAGGAAGTGTATTCTTTCCGTCGCGCTCAAGTCTCGTCGCAGCCGCACTCTCGGAAAGACCCTCCCCAGCACTAACATTAAGCTGCTGACACAACTGTTCAACCTGCAACTCATGGTACTGAAGCTTAGAGAAGTAATCCTCATCAGTCTTCGGTTTCACAGTCTTGGAGTCGTCAGAGTCGACAGTTTGTTTGGCTTCGGTGACTTGGATGGATAAAGTGCGGTATTCGATCTGGTAGCCCGAGTAGGGAGAGGCTGGATGGATGCGGGAGCGTGAGGAGGAGTGGGAGCGACGACGGGAGAGGGAGCGGGTACGTGTGCGGCCGAGACGGGGGTCTGTTTCTGAGCGACCGCGTTCGTGGGTTTGGAAGGTGATGCGGGTGTTTTGAGCCTCAGGATCGATTTCCTTTGTTGGGTGGATGTCAGGGTCAGCCATTGTGAGGGTCTGTCACAGAGAACCAGGCAGAGCAAGAGATTGCAGAAGCAGAACAGAAGAGTGTGAGAGTGAGTAATTCGTTCAAAACACAGCTTCTCAAGCAATATTAATACAAGATCCAAAAGTCTAGACAATTCCAAAAGCCATTCATTCATTACCTCTTCTAATCAAGGAGGCCTCCTCGGCTCTTCCCATCAAGTAAACCGTTCACCAGCAAATGAAAAATGCCTCAGCGTTATGAAACACATTGTATTCAGAAGTGAAGCTATACAAACATGTACAAAGGCCACCAGCGAACAAGTCGTGTGGGAAATGGTAGGGGCGAGTATGTAGTTACTTGGGCTGCTGCAGGGCAGGGCAGGGCTGGATCTGAGGGGAAATGAGATGGCTAGCCGTTTGTAGAAACGGTTTGTGATATCACCGCTTCTTGACTCAGCCCCTTTGTCGCAAAGATCCACTGGAAAGTATTTGGCTCATAATGTTTTGCATGATCTTGACATGTTGAAGCTTGTCTTTAGCTAACCCAGTTTGACAAGCTGTTATGTCAATGGAACTTTTGCCAGGTCCAATAAAACACGTAAAACCGAGCTAAACTAGGTGACGTTACAGGGCCCAATTTCTCGGTATCTAGACCCTGAATGCCACCCCCATGTCTGCAGCCAAAGAGAGAAGAGACGAAAATAAGGTGTTGGAAATAAGCATTTTTGGACGTGGGTGTAGCCGTCTTGGCATGGTCATAGCCCGGGATGCCAGATCCGGGAGTGGGCAGTGCTAAGAGTGCGCCCGTCTTGAATCAAATTCCCTCATGCATTTTCTGTCATTTCTTGTTTTTCTCGCAAAGTAGCGAATGGAATTTTGGGTTTGTTCACCGACGGAGAAGAGCTTCTGACCTGTTGCATGAAGCTACCCATAGCTGTTCAAGCTGTTGTGCAGACAAGACCCCTCACTTGACTCTCCCTTTCCTCTTCTCTCTTCTCGTTATCCCACTTGTCCTCCGCAGCTAGTCCAGAAGGCGTTTATCTTTCCACTGCTGGAATTTCCCATTACCAAATATGCAATCTGGGCTTTCCCACTACTAATCATAGAAATGGCTGGCCTGATTCTCGTTTACGCACTCGCCAATGGCCCGCTGACGTCTCCCCTCTACCACCCATCAAAGTTTTCCAAAGCCGCTGCCGCTCACCCGAACGCCGTTTAACCGCTAGTCATAGATCTAATAATGGAACAAAACTTAGAAGCCTCTGTGACCACAAATTGCCTCTGAGATTCACGCATTGATTGAGATTTTCGTATTTATTTGTCATTCGGGGACGCGTCATGCAGGGCTGAATATGCGTGTCATTTCAAGATGAGATTGTTCCAGATCTCGCATTTTCTTGTCTGTGCGATTGATGAATCTGGATTTCTGTTTGTGATGCTTGGCGTAGAGGTAGAGAGTGCCTGCAGAGCCAAGCATTTTATTTTCCGATGGGTCCTCACGCTAAGTAACTCCCCTGTTCGCGTCGCGATTTCTGGGCTAAAGTTACGAGACCTCCAACTGACTGTGAGCGAAATCTCTCATGTCTCACATGCTCAAGACTTGGGTGGGCCACCGAGGAAACCCTGCTCTTTTCCCACGTTTTTCATGCCTCTTTTCGAGTCGCTATGGATCCAAGTCACACCAATTTGAACCGATCTACTTGTTCCTCATGGTTAACATACCCAGAGCTTGGCTGGGTATTGAACTCATAGGACTTCTCGTCGCGTAACTGTCACTGGCCTTTCAATCTCAACTCTAGTTGATTTCGTCTCTTAGTTTTCTTGATGTAATGGTTCTGTGTTTTGACGTGTCTGATCCTCGTGATACTTAAATGCTCCTCAAATTCTGGTGTCACAAACGCGTAAAACAATGAAGTTACTATTGTAATGTGTTCCTAATCGCAGCTTCATAAGACGAAAATCGCACATCATTTGCAAACAATGATTCCGAGTGAGTGAACTGTCGGTGAGTGTCCGGGCCACAGCAATGTCAAACACTCTGTGTGGTGTTTTCACATGAACAAGACATCTAGATTATTATCAAGAAAGGCCTCAACTGGGAAACACCTGGACCTTAATCAGTATTTTAACTACACCCCCACTCTCATAATCACCTTAGGACCCTTCAAACCAATTGAAGTATGTTCAAACAAGTCATTCTGTTCATATCCTCTGTCATTTCGCCTACCCTACAGACCACGATAAGTGATAAGCAAAGTGGCGTATCGTGTCCTTGTGGCTGAATCCCACTTTTAAGGTTCCGACAAGCCACGGAAAAACGGAACTCGACAACCGAACCACCTCAAACCCTCAATCAAATCAAACATCTTCAATCTCAGCCTTACCGACCCGCAACGGCCTTGTAACGTAATGCCTGCTCCTCGATGAGCTTACCCTCATTTCCTGTCACTCTTTCTCGCGCGCATATCCCATGTCAGGTCAGGAGACCTCGCCACAGTCTCCCCCCGCAAACACACCCAAACACCGACGACCCTGGAATGCAGCCGAGGATGCGACCCTGAGGACGCTCGTTGGCCACTTTGGCGCGAGTAGAGGGTCTGAGGGACGTTGGAAGGATATTGCTGCGGGCTTGGAGGGAAGGACGGCAAAGGTGAGTGAGTTGGTGTTTTCTCCGCACGTGTCATAACGCGATCCATGATGGCCCACATGAGTGGATGAGTGGATGAATGGAGAATGAGATATTGACTGGGTCTAGGAGTGTCGAAAGAGATGGCTTCATTCTCTTGATCCTTCCTTACGCAAAGGTCGATGGACATCTCAAGAGGATGAGATTCTCCTTTCGGCTTATGCTCGGCTTGGACCAGTATGGAATGATATTGGTAATATTCACATGCACACACTTACAATCTAATCTAACACACTAACAGCGAATCTCATCCCTGGAAGAAAGGATGATCAATGTTCGAAAAGATACAATGATATCCTAAACCCATCTGCCAAGAACCGGTTAAGTGACTGGACCGCAGACGAAGACAACCTTCTCCGTCAGGGAGTAGCAACACTTGGTCATCGATGGGTAGCCATCTCATCAAGAATACCTGGTCGTCCACCTCTGACCTGTCGTAATCGTTGGCGCACACTCTCAAGGCTATCGCATCAACGACAGAGTAAATCTCAAGGAACAACTCCTTCGTCATCATCTCAGATGTCTCCCACAGACATTGGAATTTCACCAGCGCCGCAAAACCCCAATATCAACCTGGAAGCGAATACGGGTGACCATATGATGACGTTTCCAACTATGGATGGCGATATAAGTCATGATCAGATGGGGGCTAACTTTCTTGATTCGGCCTTTTTCGAGAACTTTGCAGGCCCTTCGCCGTCTCCTCTGAGAGAAGCGAGTGAGGATACTGAGACACCAAATGAGACTACAGTACCGATGAATCCAGCAACTGTCCCTGACATTCCCTCAAACGTTCCGGAACCTCCGCGAAACGATTCCAGGACATGGCATCAGCCACCCAGGCTGCTGCAGCCAGAATCACAACCGCAACCGCAACCGCAGCCGCAGTCGCAGCCAGTTCCGAATAACACAAATGGGACTTTCACCATGCCTTCGCCTTCTACCTGGTCACAACTAGGCGTAATGCTCCCCCCAGGCACGTCCCCTGGCAACCCACACTTGTGGATGGGCGACAATGGCCATCCTCCTGCTCACATGGGTGTCCCTGGAGAAAGCTCATTGCCAGGCGTTACAGGGGGCGATCCTATTCCCCAATCCTACACCGAGCAATTTCAACTGCCAACTTCAGCACCACAAGCGATACATCACCACCACCACCATCATGTGCATCATCACTTCCATCATTATCATCATTACCCTGGTGGAGGAGATCAATGGCGGCAATTGGAGCAGCAATGCGAAGCAGACGCTATGCAGTCAGTTCAACAAAATGAGAATGGACCTCCGAACGCAGGATGAATGAGCCACGGCCTCAAGATTTAACATCTTTCGGCCAGCTGATAAATGGCGACGGCCGAATTCCGAAATACCGGCTAAGAAAACCAGCCGGTGCCAGATTTGGATTCAACACAGTTGCCAGTCTCATACAGGGACCTTCTCTGCCGTTAGCTGAATATCGAATATTCACACACTGGACGAATCTTGAAAGTCCTGCCCGGTACCCTTGGGGCGATCAGCACGCCCGTTCTGCAGCCAACATAAACTTTGCTCCCCGCATGTTATCGAGGCCTCATTATTTTGACCCAATGACAGATACATATCTCACTTGTATTGAAGATTGGCGCCCTTCCTGACATGAAGTCCTACGCCAAGGCTGCGGCTTACGTTAAGCCTGACTACAGCTCTCTGCCTTGATACGACAACAGCTTCAAGTTCTGATTGGACGAAGAGAATAACGGTAAGAAACGGGAAAGAGATTGGATGGAAGCAAGGTTTGCGGAGATTTGAAGGATCCGGCACGTGTCAGTTGAATATACGAGGGCCTCGAAAAGCAGTGTGATCTGCGAGCTAAGACGCAAGAGCTGCATCTCAACACGCATATTTTCAGTATCCGACTGCCACCACATACTGGTATGATTGGACATCCGAGTGTGGATAGGTGCCCTGAATGGTGTTTAGGGACAAAATTCGGTACATGCCACGACCGGGTAGGCGTGGAGGTCAAGGCGTTTAGATAGGCGTGCTTTCATAGGAAGCTCTTCAACAGGGCCGGAGTTTGGAGTGGTTCAACATTGATCCGAACTTTTAAAATATTAAATACGATATCCGATATACAAATAAAAAAGACAAAGATAATAAATCAGTAACTTTCTCTTGCCTGACTTCGGTATCTGTTTCAGTAACCTCAAATGGCTGGCAAAAGGAATGTGAAACAAATGGACAATCCACTCGCTAATCGAATCGTGCTGTAACGACGTCGACACTAAAATGCTCAAGTCCAGGCGATGGACACGTCAGCCTCCAGCAGCACAAATTGATCAACCGCCATCAAAAGGCCCTAATTTATGCTTAAAACCTCCTTTCACACCACCCAACAAGTAATGCGATCGTATTTACCGCTGCAAAAACAGTCATGTTGGTAGAATCTTACAAGTGGATCATTTGTTTGCGTCGCAATCTTACATTTGCAATCCTTGTCGCTTTGTTCTAAGCGATCGCGAGAAATGCGAACGCGAAGGTCCGGGGATAAACCAATCGGGGTTTAACTACTTTCCGCCCAGATTTTTATCTTGACGACGCCAAGAGTCAAAGAATTTATCTTAACTACAGACAACTGCCTAGATGTTATTATGTTACGGATATCTCTGTTATATAGAATTGATGAAAGAGTCCCTGTAGTTACTGTGAAAGAGATAAAGAAACCGCCATGGGAGACTCTTTATGGAATGAATGATGGATCACTACAGCATCAACGCCAAGAATTCGATGCGCACCTCGCTTAGTTGTATGTCTTGGCTCTTACACTGCGCCTCCACTCATCCTTTGCCCCACGGACTTGATTCCGTCACTTAATATATGACCCGCACCTCCTGTCTTCTCATCCTCCATTGCATCCTCCACGTCTCTTCAACCGCCGCCATGTCTTCGGAAGGCTACGAACCTCCCAGCTACAAAACCTGCTCCGATGGCGTCTCCGCCCGATGTCCCGTCGAAGCTTCGTTGTACGGCGACTACTTCACCCTCAGCGCATGTATCTTCTTCGTCGTAGCGCACGCCCTCGCTCTTATTCCACAGATCTATTTTGGTATTCGCGCGCGAACATGGTCTTACATGGTATGGCTCGCCATAGGGACTATCTTTGAACTTATCGGATACTGCGGCCGTATTATCATGAGTTCGAATCCTTGGGTGTACAACGCTTTCGTCATTCAACTGGTTCTTCTCATCCTCGGCCCCACGCTCGTTGCAGCCGCTATTTCCATCACGTTCAAGCATCTCGTTCTCTGGTATGGACGAGAATACAGTTTCATCAAACCAGTCTTATATCCCTGGGTTTTCGTCGGTACGGATTTCTTCTCGATTATTATCCAGGCTGCAGGCGGTGGTGTTTCATCTGCTGCTACCAACGGCGAGAACTCGGATCAGAAGCTGCTTGATGTTGGATCTGGCATGCTTGTCGCTGGTGTGGTGTTCCAGATGGCGAATATGGTTTTCTGTGGAGGTTTGATGCTCATTTACATGTGGCGACGACACAAGGCTATCAAGAACGGTGCTGCTGTCAGAGAGGGTGACGAGTCTTCTATGAGTGGAGGAGATGTCAAGGTTATTCGTGCAAGCGATAAGAAGACCAAGATATTTGTCTGTGCGTTGGCGGTTGCTTATGTTGCTATTATCATCCGTTGCATCTACCGGTAAGTCTCCTACCTCTCAACTCTGTTGTTCTTACTAACATTACAAAGTATCCCTGAAATGCAGATGGGCTGGGGCAGCACCCTCATGCAAAACGAAACCACATTCCTTATCCTCGACGGAGCCATGATTCTCATCGCCGTATGGACCTTGACAATATTCCACCCTTACTTCTTCTTTCCTTTCCTGGGTAGTAAGGGCAAGGCTGCGAAGGATGCCGAGAAGACTCAGACACAAACGAACGAGGGACCTGTTGTTGGTAACGCATAGGAGAAAGCTGTCAATCAGTTCTTTGATTTTACTTGGAAGACAGATTGTGCGGAATACCTTTTGGGAGATATATTGAGGTTTCTTATGTTGGATTGATTTTAATCATTGGATTAGGCATTGGAACAGCGAGATATAGACTTAGACTTGACTGCATTGGATGCAAAAATTGAGCGGTTGCTAGATACATTTTGGGAGTACAAGCATGACATAAACCCACCATTTCTCCCATAAATCTTCTTACTCATATTCTCGCGATAAGCCTTTACACTATGTCCTCTCCCCAGCCCATCTCCTCCTCATCTCCCAAACCGTCAAACAAACAGCCCCAAGAACCCACCAATACCTCCAATCCCTAACGAGCACCAGCCCACCTTCATCCGAAGATGGACCATCCTGACTTCAATCCAGCACAATCTTCTTCTGGTACAGCTTCTGCTTCAAATCCTCTAACTCAGCAACAGCGGTATCTCTCTCCTCATTCGCAGCAGAAACTTCAGTACGCATGGCATCTCTCTCGTGCTCAGCGGTGGTGACCTTCTTTCTGGTGGCTGTGTTGGTCTTGATGAGTTCGTCGATTCTTGCGTTGGCGCGTTTGAGATCGTCGTTGAGGTTTGCTTCGGAGGCTTGGAGCTTCTCAATAAGGGATTCAAGTTCGGTATTCTTGGCTGTGAGGGTTTTGTTGAGAGTGGTTTGAGCATGAATCTCTGCCTTGAGACGAGAAATCTCGGTATCCCTTTGAATAATCTGCTGTTGATACTCTGAGATTCTCGCATTGAGCTCTCCAATCGTGGCATTAGCAGCATCAAGCTCCCTCTGAAGAGTACTCTTCTCCTCATTAGCACTCTTAAGCTTATTCTGCGTATCCTCGAGAATCTTTTGCGCCTCCGCATCTTGGATCTTGTCCTTCTTGATAAACTCCCTCAACTCGGCAATCTCATCTCGGAGGGATTTCGCTTCTTTGTTGGCATTGTCTAGCTGCTTTTGTAGCTCCTCAGCCTTGGCCTTTGCGGCGCCGCGGTCAGCGGTGAGGTCTTCGACTGTTTTCTTGAGATTTGTGATTTCGGCGTCCTTGGCTTTGACCTTTTCGAGCTGGGTGTGGTAGTCTGCGTCAAGAGCGGCGAAGTGCTGCAATTGTCAGTAAGCGGCTGGGAGAGCATGGATGAGAGTGGCTTACGTCTTGAGCATACTTGGCTAGATAGCCTGCTTGGTCGACAAAGGCAGCTGTGTGGGCCAAAGTCTCGAGAAGACCCTTGGGGAAGGGCATGGGATCCAGGATACGAGGAAGGGCAGTTTGAGCCTGTGGTTTGCGAAGCTCACACTGACCCTTCTCGGGAGTAGGCTCAGGAGGGTTGAAGTCACTGCGACAGGTTAGCGTCTAGTAGGACCAAAGCCAAGGGGATACTCACTGAGTGTGTTGTTGTCGCTCAATAATAGCCGACCGAACCATATCACCCACATCCTCCCCATGACCTCCCTCCTTAACATAAACATCCAACTGATCCGTCTTAGCATCCCAAGTACAGTTGATATCATAGTAAGAATGGTAGCTAAACTTGACAGTATCAGTATCGAGCCCAGTGACATTCTTCTGAACCTCATCTCTGAAACTCGGCTCTTTCGTTTTTCCGTTGGAAGCCTTGGTCCACTGCCACATGGACAAAATAGGCTTCCCCTCTCCAAAGCCGTCCGGTACAACGAAAATAGCAGGCTCATCATTCGCGAAGTTCATCCACTTGAACTTTCCTGTCCAGACCCGTGTGGTACCTGTGAGTTCCTCCTTGCTCTCCCAGATTCTCTGGAGAGGCATAGCGTCACTGACACCATTTTGAGGATTACGCATCACGACGCTGAGTTCCTTATAGCCGTTCTTGGTAGTGACGGTATAGTTATACCATGAGCCTTTGAGGATAAAGGTCACATCGCTGCTGTCTGTCTGGGAGACTGAGTCGACAGTGATGGTGGAGAAGTGGTTCTGTTTCTTGCGGCCTTGGGCGTCGACTGTCCATTGAGAAAAGAGGTAGACACTATCGCCGACGCGAACGGGGCCGCTGGGGAGGATTATAACGAAGGTCTCGTCTTTGGCGTAGTTGTACCAGTTGAGTTTTCCTTGGTAGACGAACATCTTGATTGTGTTTGTAGAGATGAGTGAAGAGTTGATGAACTGACTTGCCTTCACAGGACCAAGACTGTCGTTTTATAGCTCGAGGTCAACTACCTACCTCCTCCCGAGACATACATCTCGATATGATTTTTATCAACCAAGACAATGATGTATCTTTGTCCACATTTCTTGTTGACTTTGGAATGCATATCCAAAACTTTACAAGTTGATGCGCTTCTGATAGCCAATCGAGATGGATTTACATCAATGGTTTACTGCATGTCTCTGCTAGTGTTGAGCTGAGGCTGATCTGGTGGTCAAAGCTCAGAGTATGTATGGAGACGATTGGCATCTCTCATGCAGCTGAGCTGGGGTCGCTTGCCAGTCTGTTTACTCTACGATGAGGCCTACCGGAGTGATTTGACTGGAGTTCAATACTCTAACTATTGCCAAATGCAATTCTCTCTATCAGATTTGGACGCTGATATTCTTCAAGGTTCCACGACGCAAGCCTCAACGATGCCATTGACCAATTACTCTAGGAGATACTACTCTGCATGTCTCAGATACCCCGCCGTCAGCCCGTGTCTGGATGCCGATCATGACGAAACGTCGCGGGCCGAAGCGTGTTGCTAGAGCCAACAAGATCAATATTAGCTGTTGATATAGCTAGTAAGCGCTTAATTTGCGTTCCAGCCTTCAACGACCGTCCATTGCATGGAGATTTGACGATTGGGAATGGAGTTTCCGAGACATCTTGCTGGATTTAGAAAGGATAGACAGGCTGAAGGACCCATGTCTGAGGCCTGCAGGAGGACAAGCCCGTCAGCATAGCTTCATGCGTCACTTTGACGATATATATCGCAGAAAGAATGGGACGGAGTCGATCAAAAAGCGGAAGCAGGGTCCGGCTCCGAAAGACATACATAAAATTGCGGAGAATGCATTGACTTGAATCCAGTTTCGAGCTTCACTATGGGTTATCACTGGAAGAGTCTTGGGCAGCATTGAAATATAGAATATTGGTAGGTGCTTAGAAGTGTATGTTCAATCAGCTTTGCCAGCGTGCCCTGGTGCCAGAGTACTCTGTACATTACTCAGATCTTGGGGTCTATTGGGTCAATTAGACTCTGACATGCAGGTAGAATGTCTTTTCGATTTATCATACATCTTGAAAAGGATATGCTGTCCTGAAGTGAGCCATATATGAGTGCAACTCGCAGCCATGTCTCATATCAGCGACTGTTTCAGACTCATCTTTCCGTCAAGGGTAGAGAAGACGTAGAAATGTAGCCATTCATGGATATCTGAATTTTCTGCATCAGATTTCTCTCGGCGAGAGATTTGCGGTGAACAATGCACTGCAACAATGTTTGCAGAAAAGGATGGGATTTGTCTCAGCAAGCATGACTGCATCGACAAAGTCGGTGAATCCGCCAAGTGAGTGAACAATCTCTTTGTTATACCTGGCAGAAAGCACAAACAAGAAAGAAGACTTGATTGAGCAAAAAGAGACAATCAAAAATATGGAACGGCAAAAGGTAACTCCGGTACAGGGAATCGAACCCTGGGCTCCGCGG